AGCCTTCTGATGAAATCCTTTCTTCTATTCTTTTAGTATAGTTTTAATATAATATATATCATAAAATAAGAAATCAAGCCTTCTGAGACATGGAGTCAGATCCTCATCTCTTCCCTCATCCTCAGACCCCTGCGAACATGGTCACAGGAGCCCTGGCACAGGAGGATGAGGAGGGGAGCAGGGTGGTGCTGTTTTGGCAGAGCTGACACTTTCTGTGACTCAGCATCGCCCCCTGGCAGACCCCAGCCCCATCCTGGCACACCTGTGGGGGGATTAGGGCCCTTGGCATGATCTCATTTAAAGGCTGACAGGGTTTGGCTGGCAGCAGATTAGCCATCTGCCTGCCCAGGGACCCCGCACGCTCACGGACACGTGGTGACATGTGACACACGTGGCATGTGCCAACACCACACGTGGGGCAGGTACACCCCCTCCTCCTCTCCCTGCAGCAAACCCTGCCAGGGGGTGACAATCTGTGCTCCAGCCCCTTCCCCAAACCTCTGCCCAGGATGGGCATGGAGAGGGGCATCCTTTGGTCCCTGGGAGCACACAAGATTTGGGACAGACCCCCAAACCCTCACCTCTGCCCTGTAGGGTAGGAAGATGGCACTGGCCAGGTTGCCCGTGATGCCACTGAGGATGAAGATGATGGAGATGCGGTGCCAGCCCGCCAGCTTCTCCAGGTCCCGCAGCACTGTCATCTGGAATGTCACTGACACCAGGCAGTGGATGATGCTGGGGGAGAGGCCCTGGGTTAGAGACCCTGCCCAGGGCACGACACAGCTCACAGAACACCCCTGTCACAGACATCTTTTTATGAAAAATCCTTTCCTTAGGATTTTTCCTCCTGAGAAGCTGAGAAGCCTCAAGAACAAAGTGTAAACAATGGTTATCTGCTGCTGTGGAATGCAACAGGTGCATCTGTGATTGGTCTCATGGATGTTTCTAATTAATGGCCAATCACAGCCCAGCTGGCTCAGAGAGAGAGTCTGAGACAGCTGCCTTTGTAATCATTTTTTCCTTCCTATTCTATTCTTAGCTTAGCTAGGCTTCTGATGAAACCTTTTCTTCTATTCTTTTAGTATAGTTTTAATGTAATATATATATACATATCATAATACAATAAATCAAGCCTTCCGAGACATAGAGTCAGATCTCTGTCTCTTCCCTCATTCGAAAACCCCTGTGAACACGGTCACACACCCCCACTGAAGGCACTGTCACAGTCTGGGAGTGCCCTTCCCTCCTCTCTCCCAGCCCATCCCATCCCAATGGGCACTCCAGTGCCCAGTTCCCCCACCCCTGGGGATTTGGGGGCTGTGGCTCACCCGGCGTGCAGGAACAGGGACAGCCACAGGCGGTAGAACTGGTCAGGGACCTCCGGGTTCAGGAAGGGCAGGAGCCCACAGACCTCGTCCAGGCAGTGCACCTGTAAAGGCAGCAGGGTGGTCCCCAGAGCCACAGGGAGCAGGGGATGAGTTACAGGGATGCCAATGATGCCATGTGGCAGCTGTGAGGGGATTCTGGATGGAGTGGGGCACCCACATTGCCTGGCACTGGTAAAGGCGCCTCCTGCCCCACACCAGCAAGGTGGGTGTCGCAGACAACTTTTATGGAAAATCATTTCCTTAGGATTTTCCCTCCTGAGAAGCTGAGAGGCCTCAGGAACAAAATGTAAACAATGATTATCTGCTGCTGTGGAATGCAACAGGTGCATCTGTGATTGGCTCATGTTGGTTTGTTTGTAATTAATGGCCAATCACAGTCAGCTGGCTCGGACTCTCTGTCCAAGACGAAGCCTTTGTTATCATTCTTTGCTATTTTATTCTCAGCTAGCCTTCTGATCAAATCCTTTTCTCCTATTCTTTTAGTACAGTTTTAATGTAATATATATCATAAAATAATAAATCAAGCCTTCTGAAACATGGAGTCAAATCCTCATCTCTTCCGTGACCCAAGAACCCCTGTGATCACCGTCACAGGTGGGCACAGCAGCAGGAGCTTGGCCAACAGCTGGGCAAGGCCCTGCACTTTGCATCATTCCTGCTCACACCCATCCCAACCATGTGCCATTCCTGGTAGGACACTCTGAAGCCCTTTGACATCAGAAATGCCAGCATTGTATCCCACACATCCTGCTAGCATCCCCCCATGTACCCCACATGCCCTGCCAGCATCCCCCCGTGTACCCCACACGCCCTGCCAGCATCCCCCCGTGTACCCCACATGCCCTGCCATGCCTCCCTGGCCCCTCACCTGCGAGCAGAGCGTTGCCTCCTCGTGGAAGTAGCCGTGCATGAAGTCGCAGTACTCCCGCGTGGTGATCTCACAGCTGCCAGGGGCAGGAGGGGCTCATGGGGACAGGGCACACTCAGGACACCCCTGAGCATCCCCCTCTGCCCCCAGCCTGCTGGCACTGCGCTTCCCACCCCCCAAGGCTCTGTAGTCCCCCCCCCTCAGGCACAGCTCTGGACACTGAGGGGCACTGGACACTGCACGAGGCAGGAGTGCTCTGGACACTGCACGAGGCAGGAGTGCAGGGGGGGAGCCAGGCCAGGTGCCCCCTTTGCCCACCTGCCCTTGGTGCCGATGCAGCAGGGCCTGCCCTTGATCTCGCAGTCCAGGTGGGCCAAGCCCGTGTGGTTGGTTTTGGTCTCGTAGGTGCAGATCTAGGAGCAGGAGGGAAAGGAGCCCTGGTCAGAGCCCGGCCCCAGGCTGTCCCTGCAGAGCCCTGCTGGGCTCATTGGCACTGCCACCATGGAGCCAGCAGCTGATGGTGGCACCGGGCTCTTACCGGCCACTTGGTGATGTCGTCTGGCCACACATGGGGTGGGTTGGACGCAGGCTCCTCACACGTCCTGGCAGGAGGAGGGGGGTGAGTCAGGTGGGTGCCCCCAACACATCCCCCTGCAGACCCTCAGGCACAGACAGCTCTGCCTCGACCCTGCCCACCCACGGGTGCCCCACAACACCCCACAGCAGCTCCTTCTGCAGGTGAACCCCATAGAACTCAGGGCTCTTGCACAACCATGCCCATGGATGCTCCCATCCCAGCACAACACAACAGCATCACCTGCTGCTCCCTATGTTAAAGACAGGCCCTGCCTCAGTTTCCCCACTGATTCCCTCTTCTTTATCACTCTCCTAGTGTGCAAAAACCTCCCATCCCCTCAGACAACAGGAATCAAGGTACCCCAGCAGGAAAGGCAGCCCCTTCTGCCGTGTCCCACACACAGCCAGGTGACAGGGCCACCTCCACCCAGCTGCTACGTCTACCTGGGGTCCTGGTGACACACTGCCCCCGAGGTCCTCTTCTCTCCTGAGCCCATGGCTGGTGCATTGCTGCCTGGCCACTTGATGAACGTTGCCAGTGTCTCCTGCAGGGAACGTGGAGACACTGAGGATGCAGCAGGGAATGCATGGCTCTGATATGTG